TGACTATTGTCCTCATTTTTGTTGTTGTTATCACAACCTTTCGGTCGTTGTGTCCTTCGGCCTTCATCAGGTGTATATCTATGCGGGTAACATACAGGAAATTCCGAACTGAACCCTTTATTTAATCTCCAGGGGTAGACTGTGCTTGTCCACTGCTCATGTCTAGGGATATCATCTAGTTCTTATTTTCAGTATTGCTCAGTTATTGTTCTTCCTGTTTCCACTTCGTCCAAGTACACACTGCACGGCCCCGGGATACTGGATAAAAGCGTTGGTTCGTGAATTTGGTGACGTGGTAGCTGAGTTCAATCCCTAGTCTAGTCAGGGTGTACTTGGACTAAGTTGTAACGGAGAACAATAACAGATCAGTATTAAAAATAATAACTACAAGATACATGGCCAGTGGAATGAAAACAGTCTACCCGTATAGATTAAATAAATGCTCAATTTGCAATTCCCTGTAAGTTATACGAAGCGATATACACCTGATGAAGGCCGGATGGCACAATGCTCGAAATGTTGGGATAACAGGGTGCGGACAATAGTTCGAATGTAAATAGTGTAATTAATATTAGTATAGTTTTTTTTTTTTTTATTATATTGTCATTTTTTGCGAACAAGTGTTTTCTTTTCTGGACTTAATGAAGGTAGAAATTATCCAAATGTTTGTTGACTGCAAGCGTTTTCGATTAGTCTATTAGCCATTTTCAAGGATTTTATCTATATTACTCTAATAAGGGGCGTGCGATGTGACGTTATGGGTAAGGGATCTGAATGAGAAATCGAAGAGGCGAGTTCGAATTACAGTTGGGTTAGTTATATTCAATTACGCTCAAATATTTTTGGGAAAGTTATAAATCCATCTCATCTCCCCCAGCTATGGGTTGAATAGCATGACAAAATGGCTATAGTCTTGTTTGGCAACTAGTTTATCCCTGAAAGAAACGACAGATTTACTGCCTAGCCAGAATCTAAAGAGACATGATCGCCTAAGCGTGTATCACATATGCCACTTGACTGACTATAATAAATAACGGCTACGGTAGTCAATCTAAAAGTTGCCGAAAAATAGCCGTATCCTTAATTTCTGAATACGGCCAGTTCACTGTGATCGCGTTCATAATTGATGATAATGCTTGTTTTTTTGTTTGTTTTTTTTTTTTTTTTTGTTTTTTTTTGCTTTTATAATAAGAGGTTCTATTATTTTTAAACGATTTTTGCAGCTGGAAGTGCAATACAATACATTTTTATAGGGAAATCTTTTACTATGCATTTTATTTACTATACATTTTTATAGGGAATTTTTTTATTTACTATACATGCATTTTATTTACTATACATTTTTATAGGGGAATCATTTACTATGCATTTTATATTAAAATTATTTAGCTTGATTTTTTTCGCTAACATCATCTACAATGTCCTTTTATATTGAAATCATGTTTCCAACAAGTTTGTTGCGCATCGAGGTTGATACTATTTCACGCTGTTTTAAATATGTCCTTATGGAGCTCTGGTCAAAGAGATGTAGAATCAGTCGTCGTGACAGTTGGGTGTCGGTATGCCTATTTTTCACAACTATATAAGAACAGCACAGCAATAATCTAGCAGATATGTCTAAGAACTAATTTGAAATAGAAGAAAATGAAACACAATTAAAGACGGCTGAAGATGTCAAAAATTTTATAGCAACATATAAAATAAAATTATATTTTATTACGGTGTAGCCGCTGATATTAACCACCTTATAGTTTAGCCTCGTCCAGAATAACTCCTACGGTATGATTGCATCGATTGATTGCTTGATTTTTACGGCTTATCAACCTTTTGCAGGTTATTTATGCCCAGAAAATATTTTTGATTGAAAGAATGTTTTGGAGATAATAATGATTTACTGACACAAGTTGTACTAATTAGTCGATACCTGGGGCGAGAAGAGCGTGAATTCATTTACAATACATTTTTATAGGGAAATCATTTACTATGCATTTTATATTAAAATTATTTACCTTGATTTTTCGCTAACATCATCTACAATGTATTTTATGGTGAAATCATTTTTATGCATTTTTATATTAAAATCATTTGTAATGCATTTTGATACTAAATCAACTGCAAATTATTTTCAGTGCATCATTTGAAATGTACCTTTAGAGTAAAATGATTTGAAATGTATTTCTGTGTCTACTTTTAATATTTACTGACTTTGTGGAGGTTGTGTTAATTAATTAAATTATATTGATCAAAAATTGTTGAGTAAATTAGGCTGCGTGATGAAATTAATAATTTCCTCTCACATTAAATTTTAGTATTCAACAAACATAGAATAAGGACAACACGAGAAACAACAGTTTTTGCACAACAATGAATAAAATATTTATATAAACAAAGAGGTACAAACAACTGGAGTAAAAAGGTAATTTTTTAAAGTTCAAACGTCCTTTTATGTTTAGATGAAAGGTTATCAAAGTTCTGGTTTCATAGATTATAATTTGTTGAATGGTCTGTACAATAATGAGAAAGTGTTTGGGTATTATTGTAATTTAAGAAAAAATAAACAGTTCAAGTTTGTATTTGAAATAGAGAAATATTGTTTACGACTTACTTTAAGGTTTACGGAATTGTCGCTCTTTGATTTGTTTTCACTTGTCGTTCGAAGAGAATATTCTCGGCAGGGTTAAATGGTTCTTAACAAGCTGTGTTTATGTTAATTGCAATAATTAATGTTGAGCTTGAAAGCGTATGAAAAAGATTCGTGTATTAAGTTGAATGTGGAAAACTTGAGTTGATTGTTCGTCATAAAATATTGCTGTGTGAATGAGTGTTCTCTCAGACTGGAATCATGTTAAGGAACTTTAACGTAAAGCCTGGAACTGTGACGAGTTCAAAGGATTCCGATCGGCGCACTGTCGAAGATGAAAAACGTTTCATATTTTATTGTTTAACTTGTCACGTGATAGGCTCACAGAAGCTTGATAGATTTTGGCGGAATTATCTTTTTGGTCAGGTCAAGAACTAGGTCGATGTTATTAAATATTAAGTGAACCAATTAGAAGAAAATTTCGAAAATATACATTAAGCTGAATAAGCTCTGTGATCCACTTTTTGTACAAAAATTGATATTGATATTCGGGCATGATTTAAATGTTAAGTGACCAATCAGAAGTTGAGATTTTCTGAAAATATTTACTAAGCTGAGTTCCGTGATTCGCTTTTTGTACGAAAATTAATATTGATAAAAAAATGGTGGTAGCGGGATGCTAAAACTTTATACAATCATTGGAGTGAATAAAAGTTACAGGGTATTTGTTAAATCCAACTCGTGATTAATGAAGAGCTAGTTAATAAATAAGGAAATAAAATAAATGCATTTCTTGTGCTCACAAGATTTATTTTGTAAAAATACAAAATTGTGGCACAAGGCCGAAAAAAGTGGGGGATTGAGCTGAGACTGGTCATCACTGTTATTCTGTAACTAATCCAATTCGTGACCCATTCCCTCGTTACAATTTAACACATTCACCAAAAGAACCAGTCCGTCATCAATCAATCTTCCATTCACCATAATACCTCATACACTCAGGGGGCCTACAAAAACGTACCACACGACGTGAAAATTTGAAAATTCCATGATTTCTTTTTCTTTTTTTTTTTTTTGCAGAAAAGTGACTTGGCTTATTAGGATAAATTTTTTTACGATTTTTTTCTTTCCAACAAAGCGAGGATATTTTTTGAAAATGATGGAGAAATATCGCTTTGTTCCCGTAAGCTTCCTCCATACGCCCGAGCTCATTGGATGACGTCATACCAACAAAATATATCATGTCATATAAACAAAGACAACCATTACGTTTTTACTTTCATCGCAATGTAGAAACGGTTTTGAAGCAATATTCCAATGTAAGAAAGATTAGAACTTGCAAAAACATTGCGAAGTTCATAACGTTTCATCACGGGCGCCATCATTTTTAAATGCCAGGAGATTGTTTACTTGAATCTAAACTATATATGCCAGCGTTGGGTATAAATAGGTAGAATTTATGTTCGCTAGCAAAGCTGGAAATTTAGGTTGCACTAATTCCAATACAAGTTATGTAGTTATCGGACTTTTCAATATGTTACCTTATTCCGGCGAAATATCTCATCAGTTTTTTTTTGTTCTGAGACAATAAAATTTCACGGGATATCTCGTCGGCAAATTCCTAGTGATTAAATCAATAAAATTCTTCCTGTTGTGAAAATCGAATTTCATAACACATCAAGGTTTACAAAGAGAGAATGACAACACACGAATACAATAAAAATAGTAATTCGTCTTTTGGTTGTAGTCATGTTCGTTTTTATTCATAAATACAATATTTTAAAAAAAAGCTTATGCAAAACACTAACGGATATAGTTGTGGAAGGTAGTCATTTAATGTTAAATGTCTGTTAAATCTAAATACAATTTATGAGGCTGTTTATTTTTTTACTATGTACGATGTTAAAAGAACTTTAATACTCTATTTACATTGTTTGGACTATCGTCCTTATCTTTGTTGCCATATTTATTACAACGTTTGTACGCTCCGACCTTCTTCAGGTGGTTGGAATGTCGAACTGAACCCTTTATTTCACTCGCTGGGACACATGACACAGTGCATAAAGGCGTTAGTTAGATCAGGACCCAATGAGTGTGAGTTCAATACCTGGTTAAGCCGGTGGAGAACTTGGAGCGGTGAATTAACAGGAGATAACTGATAACTGACATCCATTAGACATGGCACGTGGAACTAGAACAGTCTACCCCAGTGAGCGAAATAAAGGGTTCAGTTCGACATTCCAACCACCTGAAGAAGGCCGGAGTGTACAACGACCGAAACGTTGTGATAAATATGGCAACAAAGATGAGGACGATAATCCGAACAATGTAAATAGTGTACCTAATACCTCATCTCCGAAATATATACAGAAATTTTAATACTACGCTTCGCAATAAAAAAAAAAATATTGGTTTACACCCATATCACTTTAAAACATCAGTTCCCATACGATCACTGAAGTTAAGCAACTTCGATCTTGATCAGTACCTAGATAGGTGATCGCTTAAGAATTCCAAATGCCGTAAGCTTGGGTGTGCGGATGATGTAATGGATAATGGATTGGAATTATGAATCGGAGAGTCGAGTTCCATTTCCAGTTAGGTTCATTATATTCACTTATGTGACAATACCCTTGGAAAAGTTATGACTCTACCCCTTCTCCCCCCACCCGCTATGGGCTAATTAGTAAGACTTGTATCACTAAATCATTATTATCTAAAAAAAATTCTTACAATCTAAAAATATTTTCTGCCTTTAAATAACCTGAAAAGGGTTGATAAACCGTAATAAACGAATTAATCAATCAATGAAAAATTATTAAATTATATTTATCTTGGATAAATTCTAAAGCGAGATCGCCATAATTTATAAAAGACCCCAGTTAGTAAATATATTATAAGGATGTGCGGATGTTGCAATGGTTATCGACACGAAAAATCGACTGAACAAGTCAAGTTCAAATTGCATTCACTTTCGCAATAATTCCTTTGGGGATTAGATTCTTCTAATTAATTCTATCGTCGTTAAATAGCAGGGTAAACTGGTTGCTGTAGCCTGGGATGGCAACCAGCCTAAGAAAATGACTACTCTGTAATCAAAACCGCGGATAAGGAAACTGTTATATTCATATGCAAATCTCCACCATGTAAATAGCAATTGATACAGCTGGAGGATAATCTTAACCTTAAAGACGAAACTACCAGAGAAACAGTAGTGAATACTTTTAACTAATTATAGTTTAAAACATTCTTTTCACTACTACTAATTCTCGGTTTGGATAGCAAAACCTAAATATTATAATAATTGTAGTTTACAACAGCAACCATCTCAGCAAGAAGTCAATTCACAGATAAAAAAAAAAAAAGATTTCTTAAAGACTCTCCGTTGAGAGCCATGATCGCCTACATCGTGAAAGGATATGGGTTTTTTTTTTTTACTTCATATTGCAAGCTTATAAATATAAATTATTTTCAACTCTACAACCCTTATCCCACATGAGCTATGTTCTTCCGTTTCACCAGCCCTGACATTCATAGTTAAGAATCGCTATGCAATGTGCACTGGAACGAACCATCTTCATTACCTTCTTATTCTGTTAAGAAAGAAGTTTCTTTCTGGCAGTTTCTTCCTAAGAAGCCCTGCACCGTAGGAAAAAAAACTCCGGAGGGGACGCTTTTTCGATCACTACAATCTTAACTTCCTTAAGTTATGGTTAATTGTTATCTTTCCTACATATCCTCTTACACTACATTTTTACCATCATCCCCGTCTTATGTGCAACAAACAAAATCAGTAACCCTCTAGTTTGAGTGGCTCATGGTCCTTGTATTGAATCAACAATGAATTAAAAAAAAAATAACTGACTTTTATACATTTGAAAGATGAGGCAACTTCGAAGTCATATCTAGTTACTTGGGAACACCTTGAATCGGAGATGATGATAAATCTACACCCGGAAGCAATTTGGGAGATTGGTGCTTTTGAGGAGCATGGAACCACCTCTTAACTGCTGGTGTTTCCAGACCCAACCTGACTTGGAGCGGTAGCACCTCTTAGGCTCCCAGCTATAGGCAAATAGCGAACTGAACTCAGGAAAATCGTCTGATCCTTCTAGAGATTGGCCCATTATCCTTCTACTTCTTTTTGGTAAAATACTAAAGGCCCTAATACATTCTGAACTGGATAATTACCTCACATCGCAGGATAATCAGTATTGGTTTTGTTCCTCTAGGTCTTAACGATATCTCGAAGGCATTTGACAGGATTTGGCACACTGGTCTTCTTCATAAGTTGAAAGATTAGGATTCAATCTTTCTTATCATATCGCGAAATGAAAGTTGCCTTGAACGGCCACTCTTCTAGATCTTTTTGCATTAATGCCTGTCCCCCAGGGCTCTATCCTTGGACTTACATTGTTTCTAATTGTTATCAATGACCTTACTTGATGGTTTCAACTCTCAGCACAATATCTATGCTGATGACACAACTATTTACTCTAGTCTTAATAGTAAATCTGATCGATTCGATGGGGTCAGATTGGCAGCTAGTCTCAAAAGTGAACTAAAATCTGCTGTTAACTGGGGCAAGGAATGGCTTGCTTGTTAATGTTAACGCTTCCAAAACAAAATTGCTTTCTATTAATCATTTGAGAGACAACTTTCTGACAACCCTCAAGAGAGTAACTCGTTGTGGCTTCTTGGGCTAAGGTTCTCTGCTGACATGAAATGGAAAGACTATATGGAATCAGTTGCTAGGTTAGTAACTTAGAAAGTTGGTTCCCTGTGTCGTGCTACTTATTTTTTTTTTCCAGAATCTGTCTTACATATTTATAAGTCTACAATTCATCCATGTATCGAATATTGCTGCCACACCTGGTCTGGTGTTTCTGCTATATATTTATAGACACTTGATAAAAATCCAAAATAAGAATTTGCAATATCATTGCTCCCCACCTGAAATCCTGGCCTCAGTCACCGCCGTAATGTAGCTTTCATTGCCATTTTTATGAATATTTTATGGTAATTCTTTTGATATAACTTTTCTCTGTGGTATCCAGACTTTATGGATTTAAGCGCAGTATTAGATCAGCAAGAATGTTTCCTCATTATACAGATGAATTACCTAGATTTAATCGTAAGTTCTTTGCTAACAGTTTCATTTTTCGCACTTCTCACTTGTGGAACACTCTTCCGGCTTCTTGTTTTGCAGCCAAATTTGATCGTCAGAAGTTTAAATGCAATGTCAATCGTTATCTATTCTTTTGTTGATCCCTCTTCTTTTAGTGTCCTCACTCCTTAATGCTATTTTTTTCTTGTTTTTCACATTCAGTAACCCTTGTGTCTTAGTGGCTTTATTACCTTGGTTGGAGTGAGATAATAAAAAATAAAAATAAATATCATAAACCAGTTATATTATCAAAATCAAAGAAAGCAATTAAAAAATTAATGACAAAAATGATATTGCATAATGAATTTTTACGTTATATCAATTTTTTAATATTTGTCTTTAATTTTCTTATAAATCTCAGAGAAAGAGACTTTACATGAAAATGATATTCGTAAAAAATATTTAACTCTGTTGATAATTACATATAACGTCAATTAGCATACGAAAGAAATTTCTATTAATTATCATAGCATTCAAAACTGCAATTTACATTTTTACAAGAAAGTTTTTGCATGTAAAAATGATTTTCTGCGGATGCCTCTTTTCATAATAAACATCGTCTTATTAATGCAAATGTTCGAAGAAATAGGCATGTACCTAATATAGGGATTATTTTTAGTGTATCTCATGAAAGTTTAGACTTGAACACCATGGAGAAGATAATAGGTAGTTTCAGTTGTTGGCGAGTCTTTTGGTACTTAATTTCTTTGCTTATTTCTTCAGGTAAACAGATTCGCTTGTCCCAGATTTGTGTCAGCGAGTTTAGCATCTTGAGTTGGCTGACCAAAACCTGTTACAAAGTCTCATATGTATCTGTTTCCAAAGGAAATAACAAATTTCATTTACTGAAGCCAACAGCGAAAATTCTCTTTTTATAACTGATGATAAGGAGGTTTCTTCTATATATTTGTCATCGAACTTATCAAATTTGTCATCGAACTTTTTATTTCAAATAAGTAATTTCGTATTTAGATTTTATTGTCGCACGGTTTTTCCTTGTGTATGCATTTTATACACACACGCATACACACACGCATACACACAGACACACACACACACACACACACACAGATATATATGTGTGTGTGTGTGTGTGTGTGTGTGTGTGTGTGTGTGTGCACGCGCGTGTGTGTGCCAGGTGTTTCGGAGCATTCCTCAGAAAGCTTTAAATTCCTATTGTTTTCATTATTAAAATTCGAATATTGCTCCAAGATATGGGAGGTGATGAAATATTTCATTGGATTCGTTTTGTTTTTCGCTATTTTCTCTCACCCCTCTTTCTAAATTTATATATCTATCTTTCTCAAGTCTGTTCATATCTATCTATCTATCTATCTATCTATCTATCTATCTATCTATCTCAAGTCTGTTCATATATATCTATCTCAAGTCTATTTATATCTATGACAAATAAATCTATCTATCTATCTATCTATCTAAGTCTGTTCATATATAGCTAGCTACCTACCTACCTCATTCTGTCTATATCTATCACTTTGAAGTGCGGGGTGGTGTAGTGTTTGCCACAAGAAACCGAATATGCAAAGTTCGAATTTTGGCCAAGTGCGTTTGCACTAATTTCGCACTCGTGTTCTTGGGAGAGCCATGAATCTACTCCTATCCAGTTATGAGTAAATAGCAGGGCAAGCGTAAAGTCATGTCTTATTTGGACTCTGAGAAGAAAATGTAAATAGCAAGAAAACTAAATCTAAGCAAAGAAGTACAGACGGGCGTAGGGATCGAAACTCCACTCCGTAAAAAAAAAAAATTAACTTCATTTACTTTAAATTCCAAATGTAAAAATCAATTTCCATTCTGACAGCTTTTTCCAAAGAACTGCTACTTTATGGGACAGACTCCTGCGTGGATGCTTCCTTGAACATTATAGTATTGTCCTATTCAAGTCAAGTATCAACCATTATCTATCTTCCTTATCCTTCACTTCTTACCGCCACATTTTTCATTCATCATTCATTAAAACTCTTTTATCAATAACCATCTATACTTAGTTACTCTCGAGCCTTATATTGGGTGAACTCTAGTCTAAAAATCCCATATGCTGCATTATACTCCAAAGTGCGTCTACAAAACTTTGACCTAACTTTTCCTTTATATTTCACTTATACCAACAATTATTAATAACGCAATCATCAAAATTTATAGGACACCCTAATAGAAATTTTAACATAAAAAATAAATGTATCATTATTTAATAATCAGTACAAATATGAAAGCAGATTTGTCGTTAAAAATTGATAGTTGCTTATAATGATTCTTTTTAGAATATATATATATAGAAAAAAATTTTTTTTTTCTTGAGGAAATGGTTTGAATGAAAAATGTTAGAAATGTAGGGATTTTGGTCGTCCAGGTTTTTTTTATATTAAAAATCCGAACATCTGAATTCCAAACAATAACAAAATAAAAATAAAGAAAATATGGTCTCATGCCTGTTAAATAAACCATTTGTATTTATAATATTTACATGTAATCAAAAAGGATAAAAAAATAGTTTTTAGTTGAGTTAAATTTTGTGGGTGATTGATCTACAGAAAAACTATGCTTTAGAAAAAAAACCTTTGGTAGCTGGCCCACAGTAAAAATCTACTGTGGAGAAAAGACACTGATCGTCAGCAAAGATTCATTGACCGTCCTTACTGTTGCTGTTAGAGACATGTTTCCTACGGCACGTACCAGAGGGGGGAGCTATCTAGTCACGTCTTCTCTCTTGTACTTGAACGGTTAGAAAACAGTAGCATCTCTGGTGCTGCTGAAAGTCGAAATCTTTGAGGTTTTATAAGAATTTTTTTTCCGAAAGTAGGCTCGAGGAAAATAGGATTTTAATTTTCTCTGACTGACTAAATTTTTCACGTGATAATGTCAATAGACACTTTGATTTCCACAGTGTGTGTTTATTGTGGAATCTTTTGGGCATATTTGTAAGTATCGTCTGTTATTCGGAAGAAATTAAAGTTTGGGTATGTTTTAATATGATAAGTATGTGGGTAGATAATTGTGTTGGAAACAGCGTTTCTTTCGTATAGAAGTTTGTTTTCACGCAATGTTCCTTTTGCAATTTTTATCAATTTATCAAATGATGTGGTTTCTGTTATTTGTTAGAGTTATTTGTGTGTGATTATGTAACGCCAGTTCATATGGTTCGAAGAATAGTTCTCGCTCAGAGCTACAGCCATTATAAACCATTAAATAGTTCGATAAAACCCAGATATTCTTCTAGCTTTCCTTAACACAGAGAAAATGGTAGCAATTGAAATTCGTATAGGAAACATTTGTTCCGATTGCATTTTTTATGTTCCTATCTTTCACACACGTCATAATCGATGAATGAATTAATCTCAACTAGATGCCATAATATTGCTTATCTACCTGAACGATCTCCGGGTTGAATTACAATTCTGTTGCACGCGTTTAGTAGAGGTTAATACTTTGTCTTAGCAAAGAGGGGAATCTTTACTTGAATTAAAAAATTCAGTTCATGCTCTCGCAAAACAAAAAATATTCATGAAAGAACGACTTTTGCATGTAATTCAACGGAAATTTTTTTCAGAGGCTAAAATTAAGAAACTTGACATTTACACGTGTATAGAAGTTGTTTTTTTTTAATCATTTCACCCTAAGTAAATCGGGAATGCCACTAGTACACAGGGAGTTACAGAGTGAAAGTGAGAGAAAAGTCTGAGTATGGGATTGGTGTTGAAGAAAGGACAAAAGATGAACAGGATTCAAGAAGATAGAAGATGGCGATTGACGTTGCATTTAAATTCTATTTATCATGGAAGCAAGTAAACAGAAGGGGGTTCTACAGGCGGGAAGTACGAGAAAAGAAACTGTTAGAATAAAAGTGGCGGTTGCATCTAACTATTTCAACAGTAAAACGGTGGGACCTAGATGCCAATCTAGCAGCACGCTTAAATTCATGGAGTCGGGGCATTATGGGGAAAAGAAACTCATCAAAGCAGTTGCCTCTAAAATAATTCTATTTGAAAAGCCACGTTGGTGAGAAAATGACTGAAGTTGTGATGGCACGTCAGGATCAATTACATCCTTCTTAGGATTTTGTCAAAAACTTGGAGATGAATAGCAAGTCCACCAAACCAGATATGACAACAGTATTAAATGCACGAACGAATGGTAATTTGTAAATGTGCAGGATTGACTTTAACGTGTCTCGCACGACACAGTGATCCAGGTTTCCTTGCATTAGATGCAGAAATTTTAAAACGTAGAGACGTTGTAGGGAACTCAAAAAGATATACGGGTTCTTTCTCGAAGGAAACATTAAAGCGTGTTTCTTCTAGGAAAATGGAGTTTATGTATTGGTATAAAGTCGTTTAAGAACGATCTTTGACAGCCGATATGAAACAGTATACTTTATTGAACAGTGGGGTTTAGACAAATTTCACACAAAAAACTACATCTGGTATTATCATACAGAAGAAAATGGGGCAAACCTGTACATAGTACAAAAACATATACAGTGTATCAGTTACTTTATTCTCTCTTCTATTCTCTATTTTCTTTCTTTCTCTCTCTCTCTTTCTCTCTCTCTCTCTCTCTCCCTTTGTTATTATCCATCTCTATTGTCTTTTACAGAGAAAGAACAGAAGTGTTCGATTTTCTGTCTACAACTGTTGTCTTCTGCTAAAGTTTTCTGCCTCGTATTAGTAGAGAAAAAAAATCAATGACGCCCTCTAATGCTTCTGAATTGAAATATTATTGGGTCCGTTACCATTTGCAGGACCGTATGTAAAAATCACATATGACTGGTCACGATATGAATATCCTGCCATTGTTAAATGGAACACTTCTCAGTTAAATCACTACTACATACGTTAAACGTTGAAGACAGACAGACTAGCCATTAATGTACACGATTAACAAATGTAGCCGAGTCTACATGGCAACACAGCGGTACCTACCGTAAACGTTCTTTAAACTTGATAAAGCAAAAACAAAGGTGCTGCAGACATATGTTTATATAGACTTTTGTCCATATTTTGGGGTGAGGAAAAAGCCCCAAATTTTGTAAACTTATTTTTGATACACTCCGTTTCAATAGATAGATAGATAGATAGATAGATAGATAGATAGATACGAGCGCATGCTGAAAAGTTCTCGACCCACTCCACTTTACAAAATCTGCCTGATCATCAGAAGTTTTTGCAAGGGCTTCTTGTTTGGATAAGAAGAAGCTATCGGTACCTCCTCGTAAGTTCGTGTGCAAGCTACTTTCGAAGCTGGTGAATTTCCTCCTAAGTCTTGTAAGCGATTCTTCTATTTGGTGGATATCACCAGAAATCATGGCAATTTCCTGACCTTTGTGACTCTTAATAAGTTTTTTTAATCACTCCTAAACCTTGTTCCGTCATCCATTTATACATGCTCGCTAAGTAGTTTAAGCATTGTTTTCCTCTGTCCCTGTTGCCTTCAATGAGTATCAAATTTTCCAAACCCTCTTTCCTCATTATGTGCCCAAGAAATTTCATTTTATTTTTGTAGCACCAATTTAAACAAGGAGACCGTTGAGAAGAGTTGCAGAAGATTCCGAAGGCCGTGGTTGAAGCCAATGGCGATTTTATTGAATAAATTCACTCTTTAGTATTTCAAGACATGTTTGTGTTATTTTGGTAAATATATCTGTTAAAATGAGATGTCAGTGTTATTTTCATTTTTGCATAATTTAGACGATAATTTATCCATCGCACCCTTTATATTGCTTTTCATTACACACACACACACACCACACACACACACACACACACACACACACACACACACACACACACACACATATATATATATATATATATATATTTAATTAATTCATCGAGTCTGATAGAAACCTCAACAGAATACAGAAAGCACTGGACCGCCGTTTCGTCCTATATTTGGGACTCATCAGCAGTGCGCATCCACTACCGAGAATTGAAACCCTAACAGTTAGGTTGTCAAGCACTATATATATATATATATATATATATATATATATATATATATATATATATATATATATATATATATATATATATAATGAAAAGAAGTCCCACTTTCTAAAATCTGATAAAATAAACAAGCATCAGATTTTCATTTTTATTTCTTTTATTTTAAATTTTTTTAGTAACCGCGAAACCTTTTCAGAAACCTCTCGTATATATTATTTCTGATTTTCAGTTATTTTTTCAACTCTGAAAATAAGTTTTTAAAATCAGCAGCCTCTTCAAAAAATATTACAATAATTGCGAACACCAAGAAAATAATTCCAAATCGTCCAAGCAAAACGACCGATTAAAGGAGATTAATGATAATCTACCAATTCTTGCAACCTTGATCCCCTTGCACTTAATATGTCAATACGTATGTGGAATATTACTTCCGCTGTTGTAGACGTAGTTATGCGTCTTTACAAAATTTACATTACCTGCTGTCAACATATATATGCTTTCTCAATCGACCGTGAAATGCCTATTTCCAAACAAGTATAGACATATCCTATTTCTATTATATTGTGTGTTGGGCGAGTTCTTTGGGTAAGTCTGTACTGCAGAGTATCTGCTCGAAATAAAAATGGCGACGCCCACGAGAAATCGCCTCTTTATAGTTATTTATTTTCAGTAAATGACAATTTCTTATTTATTTCCAAAACGGACCTGCACAGCCTGGCAACAATGCTTTAAAAATGAATCAGCGAAACGAATTATCGAAGAATGTATTGGTTTAAGAATAAGTTGAGTGCATCTACCACGTACGAGTCACGTAAACTTTTGCCCCGGTTGGATGCACACGCTTACTCAACAGACAACCATCTTTCGCTTGGTTCGTTGATTTGCGCCAGATGTTTTTACAGTTATCTACTAATCTATTTATATCAACTACAAACTGCTCGTATTTACAGATCCGTGACAACAGCCCTATATTAATACAAGTTTGAATAAATGATCACAAAAAAAGTATTTCTTTGAAATATTTTACTTCTCCCGATTCAGATTGAATTTATTTCTAAATTGAACCATATTCATATTCATATTTAATTTGTAATCTTTCTAATACATATTAGACACGCTGTTCAATTTTCTGGTGGGATTATGCTACAGCTATTGGTAGAGGGGAGACGCAATTAGCGTAGCGGTTATCAGTACGAAAATTGGAATCATCAAACTGAGTTCAAATCCCCGCGTAATCTACTGTTTTGACTTTCGCACCTTGGATAAAGACATAAATCTACCTATACCCACCCCCGTACCCTAGCTATGGATTAAATAGCAGAGTAGACTGGTCTTTCGAAACTTGATTTGCAACCAGTCTAAGAGAAGAACAAATTTGAATTCAAGCCTAGGCAGAAGGCGACGAGGAGAGCCTGTTGGTCTTGGCGAAGACCGTCCTTCTTAGAACCTTATGGACTGGCGCTACATATTCACAAACAAATAACTGTACCAAAGTAACAGAAATCACATTACTTGAGGACTTTCGACAGCAGCAACAGCTAAAATAGATTTGGCATGTAACTCGAAGAGAAAATAATGACACAATACAAATGTTGACGTTCCATAGTACTTCAAACAAAAGGTTAGAAAGGAAACGTCAATCAATAGTGGAAAGAGTAAATCTATTTTTCTGAAAAATTGTTTCAAAGGACAGATTTTATAAATTTCAACCGACAGCAGCACTGTCTTCTCGCTCAATGCATACCAAATGTTTCCTTATAAGGAAATAGCTAATATTACCATTACCATAGATAAAACGTACAGGTTATATCGTTGAATTATGGTAAATGATCACATATACAAACCAATATGTGAACAGACTCAAAAAAGTGATACATCAAAAGTACTCGGACACTATATAATACGCATCTGTCTATATTTCTGAGATGAAGTATTATGTAAACTATTTACATTATTTAGACTATTGTCCTCATCTTTGTCGCCATATTTATTACAAAGTTTGTACGCTCCGGCCTTCTTCAGGTGTTTGGTATGTCGAACTGAACCCTTTATTTCGCTCACTGGGGTAGACTGTTCTAGTTGATAACTGACATCGATTAAAAAAAAAAAAAATGACACGTGGAACTAGAACAGTCTACCCCAGTGAGCGAAATAAAGGGTTCAGTTTGACATTCCAACCACCTGAAGAAGGACGGGCGTACAACGGCCGAAACGTTGTAATTAATATGGCGAAACATTGTAATAAATATGGCGACAAAGATGCGGACAATAGTCCGAACAATGTAAATAGTGTATATAATACGTAGTATGTTTTCTCTGGGAGTTATTACATTACTGTACAAACGTATACATTATGCTGATAGCGAATACCATCCTCCGATACATTATGACGTGCCTTTAGCCTCTGTTGATAAAATACAACAAGATGGGAAGAGGTGTTAATGGTGACCGACAAGGAAATTGTCGAACATTTTGCAGAGCATGCTGGGCATCATGGGGACAGAAACTATACAGCTAGAATAGCACCCACCCTTTCTGGTTCAAGAATAGCAGCAGAACGAATTGAACAATGACCAGAAGTTATTTAACAGGCTCTAAATGTGAGTGAGAGTTGTACCTTATAGGACTCTACATCATAATGCCAGCGGTCGAATAAACCCTGCAAGATGCATGACAGGTTTCCGTTGCACACACAAACGATCACTGTTTACATGAATACTGAACTTTCTATCACCACTGAATATCACAGAGTACCATTCAATCACCCAAGTGACCCTCTAGCAAGACCACACGATATTATGTCGTAATCTGTCTATATTTCTGAGATGAGGCATTGTAACTATTTAAACTATTTACATCTTTCGGACTGTTGTTCTCATCTTTATTGCGTTCCGGTCGTTGTATGCTCTGGCCTTCTTCATAATGCGAGAACAACAGTCCGAAAGATGTAAATAGTTTAAATAGTTACAATGCCTCATCTCAGAAATATCGACAGATTACGACATAATATTGTGTGGTCTTGCTAGAGGGTCACTTGGGTCATTGGTATAAAAACGAACCGAAGTCTTGAAAGTTTTATCACTATATTAACTAAATTTTAGCAAGTATATATTGTCTTCTTTTATGCAACGTACTCTTTTAGAAGGTCAACAAAGGTCAAGTCTCCCCATAAGTTCCTATCCATCATAAATCTACATCCGGTTTCTTTAATTACTATCCCTCCCAGTTCCTGTCTTTCTGTCCATTTATTCAGGATACGTCACGTGGCTTATTCCTTGTTCCCCACTGTCTGCCTTACTATCGATATGTCCTCTAAGTATCAAATTCTGCAATAATTTTTTCCTCATTATGCGTTCCAGAAATTTCAACCGTGATTTTTAGTTTAAGTGTCCTTTTCGTTTCCATATTTCCTTAAAAGTTACTAATTGCTCACATACTCGATCCATGGTATTCTCAACATCATTCTGTTGTCTTAAGTTACCGTTTCATCTATGAGGAAATTGTCAAGCATTCACTGTCATATGGAAGGAGGGATATTGCATAACAGTTCAGCACTCTTTGTTTTTAATGAATATATTTCCTGTTTACTTTGTTCAGCACTTAGAAAGTACCTTTCGCTATTCGGGTTTCAGTATCGCATTTACTGTCATCTATTAAGACACTTGCTCGATAATTAAATTTCGCTAGTTTGTTGATTTTAAGGTATCCAATTCGTAGTTCGTGTCTTGGGTTGTCCTTCTGGCTAAAGACCGTACATACTGTCTTCTTACAATGGATTGTCAGTCATTTCTTCCGACTTTCCTTTATGATCTTGTCTAGGAATTTATATCCTAATATTTAACCCGTAGCTGGTGGGAGATGATAGATAGATTAATACATTTCCCAAGGATAATTTACACGAAATTAAATGTAACGAACTCGACAAGAATTCGAACTCGGTTCGCTAATTGCTGGTTTCAAGCCTCTAACTATTACACCACCTTCACATCTTTGCAGAGAAGCAAATATTTCCTTCTAAAAGGATCCAACGGACAAACCAGACCCATATATATATATATATATATATATATATATATATATATATATATATATATTTATATATATATATATATATTCTTTTTACTTTCGTTCACATCGGTCCTGTGTCTATCTTTTTGAGTTT